ATCCTTGTAAAGTGGGGAATTGCCGGCTGCGTTTAAATTGAATTTGAATTGAATCCTGCTAGCGAAAGACAAAACAGACCTTGTTTACTTTTACCAGACAAAAGTTCTTTGTAACGTTATGATTTCATAATTTCTCTTCCTTTGCTGTTGCAGCTGAGAAAATTGCACACATAGTGCACAAAGTTGGAAAGCATCTTATTAGGAAATACGCTTCCCAGGGACATTCTTTGAGGATGTTCAAATGCAGACCAAGCAAATTAAGTATTAAAGGGAGTTTGGCATGCTCCATATACTCAGCTGCAAGCACATTTAAATGCACTAAATGTCCTTGATTTGTGTGGAACTCTGGAGCTTTATTCTTATCCTATTAAAAAGATTACTTCGTAAATCGATGCAGTGTTACTTTTATTTTAAGTATTTCGCAATTGCGCGCAGATAAGCTGTATATTTATACACACATGACTCGAAGGTAAAACTAATCTGTGTCCATCGTAGCCATAAATTTATAAATAATTCTCTTTTGTTTTACTTGGCCGCTCTTCTCAATTAACAATCTTCTCCAAATCGCATGAAAAAGCTAACAATTTGGCTGCTTTTGGTTTCTTTTTAGACAACGTGCTTAAATGGCTCGGCAACGGGAGTCACCGAGTCTGCCGAGCTCCCATGAACAGCATCCCAGACCGACTACATCAACAGAACTTTGACGGCCGGGACTCCGGATTCAGGGTTTCAGGGTTTCAGGGTTTCGGAGCTTCGGTGATTCGGTGTTTTGGTGTATGGGCCCCATTTAAAATCACTTTGCGGCTTCGCCCTTGCCGCGCGTTGTGCATAAATAAGCGGTATTTGTGGTGCGGTGGGGCTGCCCCTCCCATCCTGCCTCGCACCGTTCGTCCCTTGGAGGACCCACTTGCATCCCGTCATTTGCTTATCCTTTGGACGGACTTTCGGCGTTGATTGATGGCAACTGTTGGAGCGAAGACTAAGTGACCCGATGGCTTCCTCCCTCGAGCACCTTTATGGCTGCGACTGGTGCTAAGTTATGACGTGTTAATAATGGCGCATAAGCACAGAAGTTGTGGGCGTCACCTGTCTGAACTTAAGCGACGCATGCGATGGCCGAAAGTGGATTGAATCATATGGGCAGCAGCAGATGGAGCACGCCCAATTGATTGATTGATAATCAGAAAACGAGTAGGCCACACAACAGAAATCGAAGAAAATATTACCAAGCGTAATGAATATATCTAAGTACTTCATATTTTAAAAGTAATTTATTATATTGGAAATGAAAAGGGAAAGCTTCCCACTGGTCATGTCGATAAGGCGAATCCACCATTATTCCATTAAAATGCACGCATTGAAAATTATCAGGACTCGCTGCCAAGTAAATCCGCGATTTGCAACTCGCATGCAATAAAATCCAACCAGCCGGTCCACGCCCACCAATTCTCTTCTTTTTAGGGGCATGAACCATGAAGATCAGAGATGCGATCGCTGAATAGTAATCCTCTGGTGCCGTTTGAGCGTTTCAAAATATTTTAATCGTGGATTTTAGTGGATATGAAAATAATAATTTATGAACATAATAATAACAAATTTGCTAATTGATTTATTGTCGAGTGTATAAACACCATTCGCTTAATTTATGCCGCTGCCGTCTGAGTGTTCTTTCCTTTTGTATTTCCGTTGAACCAGCTTGGAGCTTGGAGTCAGCGAATTTATGCGCTGGAGGAGAAGCCAGTGAGCTAAAGCAATCAGTTCAGGCATCGAACGTCGAGCACTGGGCGCGCTTTTTGGGATGGGATGATGTACGACGAATGTCCTGCTACAGTCGCACACACTGGTACACACTCATACTGGAACGCAAACTGTTCATTATAAAGGAGTCAGGTCGTCAGGTGAGCTGAGCGAGAGACAACGCAACCGCAGGCAATCACTGGCAACAGGCAACACAAATTAATTATTAATCAACGGAGTGAGCCCATCCGACTCGGGAGAATAAGCATCTGAAGGAAGTGGGGACCTTTACCATTCCCCTTCAACGCTCGATCCGCGATCGTCCAGCCAAGAGAGTGATTTATGCCCTCAAGTCCCTGCTCCCAGACCTAACGAATCTCGGAAAGCCAGCCCCTATCCAAAAGCCAAAGCCAGACCGAAACCGAAACCAACTGACAATGCTCCGGCCAAGATGGACGATGCCGATGGACGGCGATGGCTATGAAGGCTAAGCCCAAAACCAAGACGAAGACGAAGGCCATGCAATCAAGCCCGGCCAATACTCAGCGGTAGATCGTATACAAGGTCCAGCACTCAAGCAAAAATCCTGGTGCTTGATTTTTAATTTTAAACTTTTTTATATTCTCTTTAAATAGTTGTGGGGTACTTTCATATGCCTGAAAGGGATCCTTACACATTGTGTTTATTTAGCAGATTTGAATTCAAAATAAAACAAGTCGAGTTCCCCGACTATCAGATACCCGTTACTCAGCTAGTGGAAGTGCTAACGAGAAATTTCAAAATTTTCTGGAATATCGGTAGAAAATTGGGAGTGAAATATGGGGAAAAAATAATAAAATAAAAAAAAACTTAATAATTTTTAGAGTGGGCGTCGCAAAAAGTTTTTCGGCAAATTTACAAGAAACAAAAAATTTACAAACTAATAAAAAAAGAACAAAATATCCAAACATTTTTTAAAAATTTGGGCCTAGCAGTTTTGTGCGGCTTGTGGGCGTAAGAGTGGGTGTGGCAACATCATTTAACAAACTGCGTCTATGTCCCTTGGAGCTGCATGCTTAATCTCTACATTCTAGCTTTTGTAGTTCCTGAGATCGAGGCGTTCATACGGACAAACGGACGGACAGACGGACATGGCCAGATCGACTCGGCTATTGATCCTGATCAAGAATATATATACTGTATGTGATCGGAGACGCTTCCTTCTGCCTGTTACATACTTTTCAACGAATCTATTATACCCGACGCTAAAGTCGAGTTCCTCAACTATTAGATACTCGTTAGTTAGCAGGTGGTATACTTTATTGGGTATTGCATACTTTCAACGAATCTAGTATATATTCAAACGATGACTTCTATTCCACGTTAGTTCCGGAATGTGAGTAAATTAATGAGCAACTGTAATATATAACCAACATTTTTCGTTGGCTATATTGGCAGCTGCAGAGCGTCCAGCAAGAAGAGTGCGCCGCTCTGTAAGCCTTTTGGTTCCACCCATATCAGTCAGTCCCCAAGTACGTCAGTCAGTCAGCGAATGAATGTTGTCCGTTGGTCCGGAGTCCGTCTGTCCGTCTGTCCGTCTGTCCGTCTGTCCGTCTGCCCGTCCGACTTCGACTGCCCATCGCACATGCAATGGCCGCAGCATCATCATTTGGGATGCTCAGATCTCGGCGGGACGGAATCAGCTTGCGGTTTCCAGCGGTCGCGCGGTGGATTGGGGAGATGGGATGGGAGGGCCTCAAATTGCACCACAGACACAGGGCGAATCAGAAATGCCAGAATTGAAATCGCATTTTAAATCATCTCTCAGTGGAACTGCTCCTTCTTCAGCCTCCTCGCCCACATGGTGCCCAGTCACAATCGCCTCAAATCTCGAATAACAAATCGCATAATTACGGGGAAGCGGCTGTCCATTGCGTACCCTCTCGCTCCCGCTCTGTGCCATCAGTGCGTCCCGCTCTAGTCTTCTGCCTGGCAGCAAAACGAAGGCGAAGGAGCGAAGACTCGAGACGGCTATGCAGTTCGGATATGAAATATTTTAGGTAAATGGCAGCCAAGGAAACAAAAATGTGGGATTGAAGCGCATAAATCAGCGGGTATTCGCTCCGTCCCCACCTCTTCTTTCGGTTCTTTGTAAGCTGCATCAATATGTGGATGTACAGCGGCTTTGGGGTGTCTATGTGAAGCATAAAATCAACCTGAGGCGATAAATCGAAAAGATTTTTGCGCTGAACACGCAATTAGTTCTCCCCTAGTGCCCGTCTCTGCCCCTTCCCACAACTTCGCATACGAAGATTCACAGAATATCAGAAATAAGAACGATTCCAATGACATGGAAAAATTGTTTTGATTTCGATGTGCAAAATAAATGGATCTGCCTTACGCATGACCCCGATTTCCATCCACACAACTGAACGCTAATAATAAAGAATATTTTTGAAATTGTATCCTTAGCTTGTTGCCATGTGATCGCATTACAGACTTTTGTTAACAATAATATAAATATATGTATGTACATTTTTGGGACACGGTGTGAGAAATAAGAAACAGATTCTTATGTTTAAAATTAGATTAGATTAGATTAAAATTGTTTCATTCATATGATTTAATTATCGAGCTTTCGTAAAATCAAATATTTGATATTCAGCTAAGGTTTGGTTTAGGTAAAATACAAAATACATATATTTAATTATTACAATACTGTATTTTTATACCCGTTTTATTATTAGCTAGTTTCTCGTTGGGTAAAAGGGTTGGGTTGATTCATTGAAAACTATTCAAGAAGTAGAAGGAAGCGATTCTGATCCCTATAAAGTATAATATTTCCGTAAATTTCTTTTTATTAGCGAAGCTAGTATACCTGTTTACTCTGGTATAGCAAACAAAACTATGATTATTTTTTGTATTTCTTGCAAGCCATTTTCTATTTGATTGTTTTTTGTATTTTTTTTTTTCATTGGAACGCGAGTGTAAAGTAACAACGAAAACTGGAAATTTTTAATGCGATATTAAAGAATTTAAAAAATAAACTATTTAAGCCGCGCAAAAAAAAATATGTTGTCTAAATACTTTTTAAATAGGAAATAGGCGTCTACTTGAGCCTTGCTAATAGACCTTTATTGTTTGTATATACATAAATGCATATATGAAAAAGGTCATTAAATTGAAGAAAAAAACTAAAGTTTATAATCTCAAACTAAATCTGGTCTGGTTCGAACTTAGAAACCACTCAAATATTCGAACATAACTCTCTCAATTGCACAAACGAGTTCGAATTTCGAACTTTTGTGGGAGAAACATCGCGTCGTGTGCGTCGTACGCTTGCTGGTGAAAAGTGCGCTGTGAATTAAGTTTTATTATTTGTTTGTGCTGTTTGTTTTAACGAATTGAAATAAGAATACATGTCAACACAAGTGAATAAGCTTTACCCTTCCGAGAAAAGACTGTTTTCTTCAAGCCAACCTTGCAATTTTAATCCCGATCCACAGGTTAGAAATATAACTCGAAATTACAAAAATAAACTTGTATTCGTATTTCGGACTTGAACTAGGGTACTAAATACTATTGAATTATTTAATTAAACACTAATTATTATTTTGTAAATTGATTTCGTTGCATTTGGGCATTTCATTTTAGTTAATTCATGGTCTGCTTGCATGCCGACAAAAATCAGCTGTTTTGCTTGTTTCCAAAGTCAGGGGCGTACAACTCGAGAGAGTCAAGAGGGTGTCAAAACATTTTCGTGTTGCATTATAATTTGAAGTGTTCTATAAGCAGTTAATATTAAACCTACGAGAACTTATAACATTTATTAAACTTTCTAAAATATGTATGTAATAATTTTCTTATATCAAAACTCCCATCCGAACGCCTCTGTCCACAGAAAATTCGAAAACTCGACAAATTCGAAAGAGTAGAGAGCAGTTGTTGTTTCATGAGCACAAGAGCGCAGACCGGTTTTCGCTCTCGCATGTTTGAGTGATTTCGAAAGATGGATGAGTGACTTCGAATTTGATGGGTCAACGAAGACACGACAGATACAAATTTAAATAGCTATCAATAAACCTTTTAAAATTGATTATGTTTCCATTTTTAAAAAGATTTTTAATAAATTAAATCGAAAATTAAATTAAACTTTTATGCAACAAGGAATATAGAGGCACGGAAAATATGACCTCTGCTTAAGATTATCACCTCCCTTAAATATTTTTTAAATAAATATTTAAGCGGAAAAAATTTCCTGACATCTGTTACATACTTTTTAACGAATCTAGTATACTCTTTAACTGAAGTAGTAAGAAAAAGAAAGGAAAAGAAGACCGGATGGAAAACAATATGGTCCCAAGAACATAAAAATGGGAAGGGAAGGTACCCTGTGAACCGATTACCATCTGAGGAGTTCTAAAGAAAAACTTAAAAATAATTTTAATAATTTCAGATTGCTAATTCAAATAATTTTCAATTTTTAGGCTGCCGTGTGCAGTGACACTGCCGTACAGTTTTAAAAACGCAAAAAAATTCTGAATTGTAAAATTTTTCACTGACTTATTTTTGGGAGGAGCACAAGTTCTATCGAACTTCGGCGCAAGGCCGGTTCTCGACAGAGAACAAATGGCTATTGCCTGTCTCACTTACTCCCCGAGCTCCATTCGAATGTCAATCAATTCCCTGTCAGATTGGCACGCTCACTGGTCATCGTTCCTCACAGATACGTTCCTCACGGTGTTCTGGAAGCATCTGAAAGATACATGAAAACTCACGGAACAGCAATGGCTGGGGTTGTTTATTTAAAATGGTGGACCTTGATTCGATTAGACCGGATCAGATGGCATGACTCGGGGGAAGACCATCGACCGCGGTCCATATAGCTAATTCTAGTGCAATAATTGTGTCATTTAGTGGGGTTGTTTTTGTTTTCGGCGCCTATTACAAATAAATGTGACTTCCGGTGAAGATCGTAAAAGCTCTCAAGGTGCTTCTAGTAACCATGAATCCCTGTTTTCTTTCAATTTCTTTTTCGATTTTTACCCAAAAATATTAGTTATTTCAGAAATATATTACTTCAGAAATGGCATCTGATCAAAAAGCTACTACATCTGCTTTTCGAATTAGCCCCTGTGGCTTAGTTAAGAAAATTTTACAAAATTAGTAAACAATTAATATTGAAAGCTTGCTTTATTAAGCAGTGGAGTTACTCTTAGAGTAAAGGGGTATTCTTGAAAAGTATGCAACAGGAGAAGGAAGCGTTTCCGGCCATATAAAGTATATATTCTTGATCAGGATCAATAGCCGCGTCGATCTGGCCATGTCCGTCTGTCCGTCCGTTTGTCCGTATGAATGCCTCGATCTCAGGAACTACAAAAGCTAGAATGAGAGATTAATCAAGCCGCTTCCAGAGACATAAACGCAAATTTGTTTTTAAATGTTGCCACGCCCACAAACTGCACAAAACAGTCACGGCCACACTTTTGAAACAGGTTGTGATATTTTTTATATACTTTGTAAATAGCATTCTATCTAGTTGTTATCCAAGAGGTTATCTTCTATGTACTTTTTAAAAGGACATATCTGTTTCAACGATTCTGTCAGCCATGTCCTTCAGCTCTTTTCTATTTTGAAAATGTATCGCATGCCCAAGTCATTGACAATAGCAAGGGCGAAATGCGGACAACGAAAGAGAAGCGAATCACAAACACAAATAATTTAGGACAGCAGGAAAGCTACGAATAAGAAGAATCCTGCAAATGCCTACAAAACGGGTGGTGTTTTTATACGGGTGGATGAGGGCGCCCCTCGGTATACAATTAAAATTATATTTAAACTACCAGGGGTCTTGGGTGTGACTTGGTCTTGCGGAGTGACTGACAAGTCTGTTGCCTTCCAGGCAAAGGACTGCCCCTGGAAGAAGCGAGGCTGCTTAAAACAAGACAACAGCAATTTTAAGCATACTTCCCCGCTTTTGTTTTTTCCTCCTCTTTCTTTCTTTTTTCGCTTTCACCCCCCTTCAACTTCCGCAAACCGTAGCAAAATCAGTTTGAGTTGTGTGATTGTGTACGTGAGCATAACGGTTAAGGTGGCCGAGACTGGGTGCAGTCCACCCCAATGGCCACCCCCTGTCAGAATTGATTGATTGAATTGCCACTTTATGAAATTTGTGAGTCTTCCGAGATGTGCGTGGAAATTCGTGTTCTCGTCTTCGCCTTTCCTCTGGGGGTGGCTCCGTCCGGTGGGCGGCTGGGTGGATTTTCTTGGCGCTCCGAGGGTTGTTCCTCCTGATTTGTGTTTGTGTGCGCGCTGGCTAACAATTTGCAGCATAAAATACATAAAATTATGTGCAGCGCTGAGGCGGCCATTAAACTTGATAGATTTATGACAGACAGTAGCAGAGGAGGTGTACAAAAACAAAGCGAAAGTGTCTGGATGGGGTCTTTCAGGTCAACCCCCGTTAAATATAAAGATAGCTGATAGCTGATTAAAACTGCAAAATTGTCCAAATGAGATTTGGCGCCCACCGGAGAGGACATTACAGAAAATGTCAGCGATTTATATAAATGTGGCTTTATACATTTTAATACTTTGATTTTTTACGATTACTAGTGATGCTACTCCAGTTCTTACGCTCACAAACTGAGAGCTACATTTTCGGACAATCGGACGATTGTTGCCTAGCCAAAAAATTATCCAAATAAAACCCAACAAAATACGAAGCATATCTCTACATGAAATAAGATACAATAGTCGAGTACCTCAACTTTCGGATACCTGTTACGCAACTATAGGGAGTCGAAAAAAAAACTGTGAAATAATAAAAATGGCATAGATAATAATAAAAAACATGCACAGCGTGGGCGTTACTAGAATCTGCATGCTTAGTCTTAACTTTTAGCTTTTATAGGTCCCGAGATCTCGCGGGTCAATAATATATACATTAAACGCCTCCGATGACCTGTTACATACATACGTCTCAAGGAATCTAGTATTATCTTTAAACCAACGAGTAACAGGCATACAAATCAATTAACTTGAATCTCAATGGGGCCACTTCTGAAATAACCGTAATGAAAAAGGATCCAATTTAAATGCAAAATGAAATGGAATGAAAGGCTTATTAGAACAGATGGGAGAAATTAGGAACTGGCCCAAATAAATGAAGTAAGGTTTCAACAACCTTCCTTTCTGAAGCTGGCAATTACAGAATGATTGAATGGTAATTTCGGAGGAAAAGTTGGTTTCTGCCTTGTGTGTTTTGAGGTCTATGAGACTGTTTGGGTGCGTTTGTGTGGAACTGGCATAAATTCCAATTATTTATGGGGGCTGCTACTGTTTGTGATATTTTATTTCGCGCAAGGCATGCGAAGTATAATTTGCGCCCAAAGCAAACAGCAGCACAAAAAATGCCGAAACTTAACAAAGAAAAAGCGTCCGGAATGTTTGGAATTAATTGCCCAAGCTCCTCCAATCCCAAACAGAAGAATACGCTAAGAGAAAGGGAGAAAAAATTGTTTTAATTAATAAAATTGAATGTGTGCGAAAATTGAAAGGATTTTTCCGGCCCCTTGGTAGTGATGTTGTGGCTTCTGCGGCATTCATCTTCGACGCTCATTTGCAGGCTTTCCTCATTGGTCTCATTTTGAATGCAAATGATTTATGCCAGAAAGTGTCCTGGCCGAAGAGTCGGGGCCAAAAACTGGATTAGAGAGCGCCACCGTCGGCTCGTTTTGTTTCACACCCCCTAAACTTTTTTACCCATTGCAAAAGAGCGGACACAGCCGGCAAAGTTTCTGTCCCAAACCTTGGAGGTCGCCTACGATTCCTCAATTGCCCGAGGGGTATGCGCCGTTGGAACCGAGTGGGCGAGGGGAGTTTTTAAATATTTACTCAACATCCTATTATCCCCATGCGGGCTGGGATAAGGACAGGCAGCGGACCACGACCCGGCTTGTATCAACATTTAAAACGATAAACTTACCACATACACAGACACCCGACAGAGAAAAATACAAAAAGGACGAAGGACACGTCTTGTCTGTCACACCAAAATGTCACCGCGGGGTGAATTACTGGCAAACCAAGGGAGAAAATGCTGAACAACAAAAATTCGTATGTAAATAGCTGGAAAACACAGTTGGGCTAGTGAATACCCTTAAGTTTTCCTTAAAACTTTAATAGGTAACTGTATCAGCTCAGCAGTGCTCTTCGCTTTTGAGCGCTAATCATATCATCGTTTAATCCATGCAAACTCTATCTGACTTTATTTGTAGTGTATTTAAGTTTTTAATCGCCGGAAAGAGTCCATAGAAAGATTCCCCTAAAACGAAGTCACTGCACTACGTCTATGTGTGAGCAGGACGACATCATAGCGAGGCACGCGCCTCGCACATACAAACGCACACAAACACACTGCGACACAATCCAAACAACAATGTGATAGACAGAGCGAGCCAGAAAAAGACAGACGCTGCGGGTGAAAGGGACAGAGCGACAGGGG